GTTTTCCTTGCTCAAATTTTTATGTAGAGCATAAAAAATGAATGCGGCAAGCACTTAAATACTCATATTCGCATTCGCATTCGCATTCATTTGAAAATTTATGATGACTGACTGACTGTCATTCGAGTGCTGCACAAATATAATTCACAATCCATTTAATTCGAATAGCTCGTCCAGATTATGGCGATGGCTGCCAACGCCATCAAAGTTGACAAAGTTGCCAAAGCCCATAGTTTTGCTGGCGTGTGTAAACAGAACGAAGCATAGGAGCAACAGGAAAATACCAAAAGAAAAAAACGTTGCATACGTTCAGGCGTTTCGTTTTTATTTAGGCACAGCCGAAAGCAAAGTAAAAGATGAACATACAAATGCAGCAATAAAATTGCAACAGCATGAGAAATAAATGCTGCAGCAATATACACACACACACACACACACACACACACACACACATACAGACAGACATATATAGACACATACATAGCTAGGGCGACATTCATTCAGATAAAAAGCGTCGACTTACACCTACAAGTCAGCAAAAGCCACCGAATTTGGGTAGGTGGGCGTGCCAATGGCAAAGGCGCCTGTGTGCTTGTGCGTGTGTATGCATGCATGTGTATGCGTGAGCTACCTGCATCTCTGTCTGGCACTGCATTAGCAGCCAGCTGTGAACGAAATAAACGTACAAATATTTTTAGTGTGAACAATTCTGCAAAGCGAAATACTGAGAAAGCTTTTCGCAAGGCATTACACACGAATGCACAAATACACACACACACACACAGGCAAAGGCAGCTGACAAGATAACGCACACACACACACACACTCGCTCAGTTATGCACGCTTATGCACATGCAGAGAATGAGTCGTGGTTAGTTAGAAAATGCCAATAGTATATGCAGTAAAAAACAAGGGAAAAGAAAAACAAACAAGAGGCGCTGTGTATGTGTGTGTGTGTGTTTACAAGTCAGGTGTTATCGCTATTGTGTATGTGTGTGTGTGTGTGTGTTTCTGTCAATTTCGTAAACAAACGAGGACAAAAACGACTTTTAAAATAATAGCCAAGGCAAACAACTGCCATGCCATTGATCGAATAATATTTAATGTCTTTGTTTTCCATAACACAGCCAGCAAAAGTTTAGCCTGATAATATCTGCAAGCAAAAGAATACAAAAACAGAAAAGAAATCGCAAATAGTTGAAAAGTATTTTCATGTACAAAAATTGCCAAGTGCAACTATTTAGTTACTTTTAACGAGGCGATAACGCCGGACTATGCGGCCGAATGGCCTGAACCCATTGCAAATAAGCAGGGTGCAGGGTATACTGGTTTTCTGTAACAGGCTGAAGGAGGCATGACAGAGAGCATAAAGTATATGTCTTACGATATTCGACTGCCTGTTCGGTAGTCTTTCTATCTATAGGACTCAGAATCTTTAAGAGAGCACGTGCAGATCAAGTTTATTTAAATAATTGATAACTATTCTGAGTTATGGACTTTTTTTTCTTTACTTATTCACTTATACAATTTACAGATTTTTTACTTTTTTAATACATTTTCGAATTTCTAGTACAATTGAAAATATAGCCAATATTTGACAGAGCTTCCGGCTAAACTATATTTACAAATACTCTATAGAATACGTAGATTAAATACAGGCAAATTCATTAAAATCCGTGAAGTAAGGCAGAAGTTATAAAAGAAAACGCTTGACTAAGTGCTCGAACTTTCTCCATATAATCATACATATACACACACAAGTGCATGCTTGTCTCATCTAAAAATCGCAATTGAATTGTGCTTAACCTATCACCTGTTACTTTAGCCTGCATTTACCAGCTGGTGTTCGAGCAGTGAAGTGACGGTGTTGGTAGAGGCGGTGAGCGTCACTAAAACGTCTTAAGTTTACTTAAAGATTTTATTGGTCTTATAAAATGCGATGTATTTAGATTTTGTAAGCTTATGCCACATAAAACTAGAAATAATTCCTACTAAGGGTAGCATAGCACTTAACTGATAAAATATAAACATATTTATAAGAAAAAAGCTAAACTAGATTCATGTTAACTAGCACATTAAAAACGCAGATCAGACCCTACTCTGATTTCTGGGTATTTTCTAGTCGGCTATTTTTTCTCGACTAGAACTTTTTACTTGGTTTCCTTCTTATTTTTCATTTTTTCAGTCGAAAATTTGTATATAATTAGCTCAGGGTATTTCCTTAGTGCTCTTACGCAAGCAGAAATTAAGTTAATCTATATTTTTAAGGCTAGGGAACGAAAGCGCAAACAGCATTTGCAGCTTTGGAGAGGCAAGAGTTTGCAGCGATATTGCAGACAAAGTTTATGGGAATAGTTGATGGATATTTGATAGATTTTAGTTCAGGAGGTTGTTGCCTGGCTATCTTTATATATACATATATGTATACAGATATATGTGCAATTGGAAACCAAACGGAATTTTAATATTCTGTGTGGATTTTGCCCCTGAAGATTCGGCTAAGCAGCATGCATGAACTACTTGGGATGCTTAAAAAGAGAAAAAGCGTTGCCTACTTTTGTGGGCGGGCTGAGTATGTGGCTTTGATTTTGGCTGTTGGCCCGCACTTGACACTTTTTGCTGCGGCTTAACGGCCGCCTCACATGCCAGCAGCTCGGCTAGAGCACCGCCAGCTACTAGTTGTTATTGTTATTGCTGTTGCTGTTGCTGTGCGTCTGCGTCTGAAATTAACAGCATTTATTTCATTGCATTTTTATGCGCCTCATTGCGAGCGACATTGTCAGAGCCGTCGCCGTCGCCGTCGCCGTCGCCGTCGTCGTCGTCGTCGTCGTCATTGTCGTCACTCGTGTCTGTCTGCCTGGGCAAACAAAGGCAACTTATTTTTATGCTATGCGCGTCAGTGGCAGCAGGCAATACAAATAGAGCGAGAGAGTGAGAGGGAGAGGGAGGCTGGGAGCAAGGGACAACATTCAACACCACCCTTGGCCACTCTTTACCCACATATGCAGGGTTAAGTTTCTTTTTTATGCGCTTTTGTTAGCATCAGCGCCCCGTTCTGGCCATTTTTTAGTTGTTGTTGCTGTTGCTGTTGCTGTTGCTGTCACTGTTGCTGTTGCCATTGGCAACTGTCATGAAAAGTTCGAGTCTAGAGTTGACCTGAAATGTGAAATGTGTGCGCTGTATTTGGCGTGTGTTCTGTTCTATTATGTTTTTGTGTACGTCTTCATTATTCCGTTTTTTTTTTTTTTTTTTTTTTTGTGTGTGCATGACACGCCTCGTCTCTCCCAAATTGAACATCCAGGCAACGGCCAGGGTCTCGCCCACAATCCAACTGCTATCGTCTCTTTGTCCGAGTCATCAAAATGTCTACTGTCAGCTTTGTGTTGGATTTCATGCAAATTGCACAACATCTACGCCGCACAGCCATAACAAATGAATTGTCAACAGGATAAACCGTAATCCATTATGCCAAACGGTTGCATCTAGCAGCAGATCAATCTACTAAATCCCGTCAATCGAGCTAACGTTTCGTGCATTTCGCATTTGTAGCCATAAATGAAAATACTATATATAAATATATATCATTCATCAGGCATACGTAAGAGGATAGAGGTAGTTAGAGAGAGAGAGAGAGAGAGAGAGAGAGAGAGACAAGGAGGGTGATAGTGAGAGTGAGGGAATATGAGAGAGCAGATAGAGGAAAGAAAAGAGAAAGAATAGGGAAAGGGCAGAAAGATAGACAAGAGAGAGACAGAAGAGTGAGAAAGAGTAGAGCAGTGGGAAAAGAAAGATTGAGAGAAAATGATATGTAGAACGAGATAAAAGATTGATAATAAGAGTGATTCCAAGAAATAGAGAGAAAGAGAGAGAGAGCGAGAGATAGAGAGAGATAGGAGAGAGAGGAAAAGAGAAGGACAGAAAAATATTTAGGAAAGACATTGGAGGAAGAATGATAGAGAGAGAATGTGGGAGAATAGGTGGAAGCGAGAGAAGAAAGAGAGACAGACTGAGAGAGAGAGAGACAGAGAGAGAGAGAGAGAGAGCGAGGACGAATAAAGAGAGACAGGCTCAGATAGAGAGAGAGAGAGAGAGAGAGAGTAAGTAATCGAAATCGTGGGCTAGCGTCGAAGATAGAGAGAGATAGTGAGGGAGGGAGAGAGAACGTAAAGAAAGAGAGACAATAGAGAAAGGAGAGCGTCAATAAGATGAAGATTGAGAAAATAAAAAATCGAGGTGAGAGACAGCAATATGGAAAAAAGTACAGAAATATATACAAGGTTCCATTAAAATTTGTGATACAAAACAGTTATAAAGATACTAAGTGAGGGAGGGAGAGAAAAAATGAGCAGACAGAAAGCAACAGAGAAAGAAAGTGCGAGAGTCATATGTCAGTTATAGTTTTTTTGTAAAAATTTGTATATTTAATTAACAAATTTACGTGTACCGTTAGAGGCAGGTCAGTCTTTCAAAATCTATCCGTTTATTACAAGGTCTTTTCCATATTTGGGATAATAGGATCATTGCATCGTGGTTAATCTGAAATCTGCTTTTCCCGGAATAGAGCTATTTACGTACAAACAATATTTAAAGGCCCAACTTAATTAACTATGTTTATATTAAGCAAATTCTTTGCTTATATTTAGATAATCGATTAAATTTATAGTACATGTATTAGAGACGTGCGTTTGAGGGCCGAGGGCAGCTAAAGCGCGCAGTTGCCAGCTTATCAATATAGTCGTGGCTTATCTTCTAATCTGAACACCTGACTATCGGCACACGGAACACATGACAAGCGGACCAAGCACAATATAGCACAAATTAGAACACGAAAAAAAATAAAAGAAAAAGAACAAAAAAAAAAAAGAAAACGGAAAACAAAATCATTTCAAGTCGAATCAATAGTGTTTGTGTGAAATGGTGCAATTCCGCTGTAATGCTTGTTATAGTTATAGTTGCTTGTGTGTGTGCGTCTATGTGTGTGCCTTTTTTTTTTTATCTAGCGAAATATTATAGAGCATATTAAAAAACTTTAGGAAAAGTTAAAAAAACGAAGAAGAAACAAGTTGTGAAACTTAAAAGTTCGGCACTAAAAAGCAATAGTAGTCAAGTGCTGCCAAAAGGTGAAGCCTCAGCAGTAACAGCGCCGTCAGTTAAAGAGCAACAACAACAACAACAACAACAACAACAGCAGCAGCAGCAACCAGAACCGGAAAGAGCAGCTGTAAGAGGAAAAACAACAACGACAACATGGGAAAAAAGAGCTCGAAATTGAAACAGGATACCATCGATCGTTTAACAACTGACACATACTGTAAGTAGATAACCATCAGCAATATACGATGATAATCTTATTTGGTACTTGGCATAGTTATTTGATTGCGTTTTTCATTGCGATTACCACAACCATTCAGAAACAAATTAGAGCGCTGCAGTCGGGTGTTGCCGACTGTGGAATACTCATTCAAATCTAGTTTACGACTTGTCACGCCAACAATGAGCTTAGATTTATCCACGATATCTTATTTTATTTATTTATTTATTTATATGGGACACTTTATTTTTCATCAATTTACTGCATACAAAAGTGTTGTCTTTAACATATTTTTTTATTTTTATTTAAGAGAACATGACACATTGTCCTTTTCTACTTAAATATAAATATATATTTTTATAATATGGAAATTGATTCTTTAGAGTTTAACATACATATGGGGAAAAATTGATATAAAAACCCCATAAAAATAACTTTACTTGACTTAAAACTAGAACTTAAGTTAAACTTATTTCTACTATGTATGTAAGATAATATTATTAATGTGTGGGTAAATGGAACCTGAACATCTATTTATGAAGTTAGAATGCAGCTTCTCTATTCTACTTGATGCTAATTCTACCTTTGCTTTCAAATGTAACTCCGTAGTGGAGTAATACCACGGTAGGTTATAAATCATTTTTAGTATTTTATTTTGTAAAGTCTGAATTTGATTTATATGTACATTGGCAATATCAGCCCATACCGGAGCCCCATAAAATATTAATCCACTATATCTTATAGATTTTGGCCCGAACTCAAAAGCCACGCCCCTAGTGGGCGGATTGAAAAAATCTTGACATTTTCTAATTCGACGATATATACGAGATTTCACGTCTCATCTATTCATAAGAACAGCCTGACAGACAGACATGGCACAAAACCAATATACTCAATTCACTTTCCCGAATGAGTATTATAAATAATTTCAGCAATACGCAAATCTTTTGTCACTTCAAAGACGCTGAACCATTTAGTTAAAGCCTCTAGGCTTGAGTGAGCCTCGCGTAGAGAGATAGAGAAAGCGAAAGAGAGGAGAGGGAGAGTGTGGCAGAGCGGAGCGTCATTAATATTTAATAAGCTTAAGCTGTCTAAGCAATTACTTATCTCTCATTTAACTCAGTCCAAAGTCCACAATAATGCGCACAGTTGCGCTCTGTCCACTTGTCATTCCCCACTCTAACTCAACTTCATCAAATTTGCTGCAACTTTCACGAATATCTAAACAGCTGTCAAAGAGCATAATGCCAATTCAGCTCAACTAATTATGTTAATGAGCAATGTTGTTGTCCCGCTCTTATGCTCTCTCGCTGTCTCTGTCTCTTTCTAAATTCTTCTGTCACTGTTGAGCTCTACATGTGGCAGGCTTCTAGTGGAATTCGGGACTCGTTTAAAAAAAACATAAAAATCGGTTGGGAATATAAATATTATTATTATTTAAATTTCCACAGATAATTTCGTATAGTTTTTTTTTAATAGATGCCAACTTTTTAAAATCAAAACTAATTTAAAATTTAAATAAAAAAAAGTAATATTAATAAAAAAATTAATTTAAAAAATAAATTCATTTAAATATTTTAAAATAAATCAAAAAATTAAAGTATTGAATTTGTGAGCATTGAATTTCGAATTCTTACAAATGATTTGTTAAATAGAATATTTACATTTTATGAAAAATTTAAAGCATATAAATTTAATAGATTTATTTATATTCTTTCTATTTTACAATATAATTAAAAAAAAATATATTAAATATGAATAAAATATTAAATAAAAACAATTTTATTTTTAAATATTTAAAATTTTTAAAATTATTTTATTGCTTTCATTTTTTTAATTTTAAATTTTCTTTTTGTATAGCTGTGTGTTTTTTTTCTTTATAATTTACGATGGTTTGTTTTTAATTTTCTTGGCAGCTTTTAAATATTTAGTTAATTCTGTGTTAAATTTTATTTATTATTTATTTATTTTTTATTTATTCCATTTGTTGAATTTATTAATTCTAAAACTAAACTAAACTAAAAAAAAAAAAAAAAAAAAAAAAAAAGGACTTTAAATATTTTTTGTGGGACTAAAATCATTTTTTTTTGTTTTTGATTTTAAGCATGAATATTGAAAATTGCTTTATGAATTTTTTATTTTATTTTTTATTGTATGTAACAGGCAGAAGGACGCGTGGCAGAGCTCATCAAGTATTTAAATTTTTGTTTTTTTTTTTTGTTTAAATTTTCTTGTTATTTAAAAAGTTTTAGAATAAATATATATACATGTATTAAAATTATGTTGTATAGAAATAATACCATAGCAGAAATATAGTTTCGTTTAAGAGCACATTACAGCTATTTGCAATATGTCCGTACTGCTCTAATTACACAGAGCTTTGGACCACTAAGCTGAAGCACCTTCAGCAGGCATTGCTGGTTCTTTGTAGTCGGGCAGCTTTTGTTTTGTTGTTTCTCTATCATTATTTTAATTAGATTCTGCTGGTCATATTTTGCTGTTGAGTATTTTTGTAATTCTCTTTTTCTCGTTTTCTTCAGCTGGTTTATTCGTGCTCTTTGCGGGCTGCTTAAAAATGCAAGTCACCCGGTTTGGGCCTACAAACTTTGTTGACTAATTGCTTTTTAAAGTATTTTCGCATTTTGTGCTCCGCTGCTGCCGTTTTTGCGGTCGAGGGGCTGGCCGGGGCAGGGCAGGGCAGGGCGGTGCGGTGCGGTGCGGCAGTCGGGTGGTGGGAATATAAATAATTACGTAGCTGAAGGGCATTCGGTGCACCTGGCGGGCGCCCTCGAAAGTGTTGACAGATTGCTGCCAAGTTGCCAGTTCTTAATGTCCTGGTCCAAGCAATTTGTCTTGCGCCTCCTGGGCGGTGCTCGACAAGAATCAGCATCAGCATCAGCATCAGCCACTCCCATTCCCCTCCGCACTGTTGGAGAAAACATTTTGATGAAATTTATTTTACGCTTTGCTATGCAATTCAATAAGCTGTCCGTTGCTCTGTTTAGGAAAGTTTCAAGTGAAGCCGCATGATTCGGGCCAGAGCCTTAGTTAGCTCAAATGCAATTAACTGTAAATTTCATACATATGCATATACATATATATATATATATTTATTTCAGATATTTCAGTCCTCAGCTGGCATTTGAAACACTTGGAACTGCTGTCTGCAGCTGATAGCAGCAGCCACAACGAATTCGACTTTTATTTATTCGCCAAACAAATAAACTGGAATTCAATTTATGAGCGGATACAACGGGTCGTATGAGCAATATGCTAAATTTGTTGCCCCCGCTCAGCACCTGGGCTCCGGCTCAACGGCTCTGATGCTGTTCATTGAGCTGCTGGGCTGGGCAATCAATTGGGGAATTACATTAAAGAAAATTCGTTGTCTGTGTGTGTCTCTCTCTCTCTCTCTCTCTCTCTCTGTGTGTAGTCACATAAAGATTTATGTGCATTTCTGTGGGTTTTGCACCCACTGTGCAGCGCACGGCGTACGAATGAATAAATAAATAGCTAGAAATTTGATTAGTTTCGGATGGGTTTCGAAAATCGAAATGACCGTAGCAATAAAGTGCAAATCCCAAAACTGTGTCTCTGTATAAAATAGATACAAATTACGGTAGGCTCTAGGCCGGGCAGGGCCACGGCTACGGCTATGGGCCACACCCAGGGTCAGGGCCAGAGTCAGGAAAGGGCTAGGATAGCTCAACAATTGAATAGGCGAACGGGAGCTCATCGTTGGGGGTCATCTATGGCCGCAATTTACTATAAATAAATGGGCTAACGAATGTGGACTGTGTGTGTTAAAGTTACAGTTATAGTGTATGTGTATGTGTGTGTGTGTGTTTGTGTGTGTTTGTCATGGTCCACAGGTGTTTGCCTTAGGCCATGTTATACAGGCTGGCGAATTAGTACATTTAATTGATTTTAAAATTGTTGAGCAAATAAACTGACTGACTAAGAGAGAGAGAGAATGAATGCAGAGACCTACAGGCAGCGAGTGAGCTAGAGAGAGAGAGCGATAGGCCGTGTATGACTGCGACAACAACAGCTATTGGCCATAAGACAACAACATGGTCATTAGTTCGACGTCAACATTCGGCATTAGCCATATGATTGCCAATGCCAAATTGGCTTCAGCTCAAATCTCAATTGGGCTCCGTTGCACACCTGTGCAGCTGTCATTTCATAGCTTCAATTGCTGTCTCTTTCACGCATCTTTGCTTAATAAATACTCTGATGCACTCGAGTCGACTTCAGTTGCAATTCTGTTTGTCTGTAGCTTACGCATGACTTAAAGTGTTTACTCAACCGTTTGGGTTTTTTGTGCGCCATGCCCATTGATAGTGGAAGCTCGGGGTATATTGAGTTTGTGAAAATGTATGTAACAGGCAGAGGAAAGCAGGGTTGGTGCTATTATGTGTGTTTATTCTTGATCAGGACTACGTGCTGAGGCGGTGTAGTTACGTCTGTGTGCAAGTTTGCCCGTCTCTTCGTTCACTTGTCCGTACGTCAATGTGAACGCTCGTCCGTCCGTCTGTTCTTTTGCCTGTCCATCCGCCTGTTCGTCTGATCATCCGTCCGTCTGTTCTTTTGTCCGTCCGTCCGTCTCTTCGTACATTTGTCCGTCAGTCTGTTCGTTTGCTTATCTGTCCCTCTCTTCTTTTGCCTGTTGGTCCGTCTGTTCGTCTGCTCGTCCGTCCGTCTGTTATTTTTTCAGTCCGTCTGATCGTCCGTCCGTCTATTATTTTTCCCGCCCGTCCCTCTGTTTGTACGCTCGTCCGTCCGTCTGTTCCTTTAGCCGTCGTTCCGTCTGTTCTTCTGCCCGTCCGTCCGTCTCTTTCTTACGTTAGTTCTTTTACCCGTTCTCACTCCTAACTTCTGGTCTATCCGTCCGTCAGTTTCATCATTCGTTACATACTACCATACGGAGTATGAGCTTACCTTTTTGTTTCGTAACTCATCCCGGTAAGAAGCTATAGCTAAAAATCCATAATTTC